CAAAGACATCGACTGCTCTGCTGGAGGAAGATGTGGCCTTCTGCTCCCATAAAGATTGACATCCTCAGAAACCCTATAGAGGGTCACGATGAGTTGGAACTGACTCCATGGCACACGGCAGCAGCAGGAACAAAGAGTATAGAAATGCAGTTGACTATTGTATATTGATTTTATATCCTGAAACCTTGCTGACCTTAATTTCATGTTTTTATTTTAATAGTTTTTAGTAGATTCCTTAACATATTTTATATATCTTAACATATATGACATGATCTGCAAATAGAGACCATTTTACTTCCTTTTCAGTATGAATGCCTTTTCTCCTTCTTGCCTAATTGCCCTGGTTAGCATCTCTCGGACAGTGCTGAATGGAAGTGCTTAGTTAGAGCAGGCATCCTTACTATGTTCCTGATCTTAGCAGAAACATTCACTGTTCCACCATGAAGTATGATGCTAGCTATGAGTTTTTCACAGATATCCTTTATTTGATTGAGGAAATTGAGGTTTTATAAAAGGGTGTTGGGTTTTTCAAATACTTTTTCTGCATCTGCTGAGGTGATCATGTGATTTTTGTTGATGTCAGCTCTTCCATTCTTGATCTTGGATCCAAGTCTCATGTATTAGAGATTGAAAATAGATATTAGTGGTCATCAGCATTTAGATAAATGTTAGAACTCTTGGGAGTGGGTTAGATTGCCCAAAGAGAACTTAGAGAAAGAGAAGACCAGAAGTGGTATTTTAAACTCAACAAAATAACTCTGTGCTATTGAGTTGATTCTGACTCATAATGGTCCAACAGTACAGAGTAGAACTGCCCCATAGGGTTTCCAAGGCTGTGATGTTTATGGCAGCAGACTGCCACATCTTTCTTCTGCATAATGGCTGCTAGTTTAAACCATCGACCTGTTAATTAGCAGCCAAGTGCTTAACCATTGCAAAGTATGAGTATTCCGGAACACTTCATTATGCTCATGAGGAATCTGTACATGGACCAAGAGGCATGGTTTAAAATTAAGAAAGATATGCAACGGGGTTGTATTCTTTCACCATAACTTATTCA